GATGCCAGTAAATGAAAATAATATATACTGTTCAAGATCGCACTAGATGAGAAACTACGATCGTCCACAACAGACATCAAGACACTTGACGATGATGATGTAGTAGAGTAGTAGTTTTCACATAAATAATTTTGTTTAAGTCTCAGGGTTATAATAGTGTTGATTATATTTTTAGTGTTAGCTTTTGCGTGATGATTGCGTAAAATGCCGCATTGGATGCATTATACTAATTATAGTGATTAAATACGGCAATAATCAGCCTGGTATGCGTATTTCACTGAAAGTGCTATTATAACTCAAATGTAGCACACACAAAAATATTGTACTTAACATTTAAATATTGACAGCTTGCAAGAATTTGGTTTGCGTTGACAAAATAGGGTGATTACGAGATTTATATTTTTAGAAGACATTTTCAAATATTATGTTAGTAATGTCTTTATTCAACAATAATAGTTAATTCATACATAATTTGAGATTATGATAAAGTATGTATTTAAAAACATTTTTTTTCTACATATTTAAGCAAAACATCAAATTCGAAACTAACGTAGCTCATTGAAATACATCACGTGAGGAGTTACGTGCTTCCTTTTCCCTACAAGAGTCCATACGATAGGACATCTTTGTGTATAGAAGTTGTCCAGCTAGACTCTATCCAAAATGGTGAGTATCATCCACCTATATTTTATTAGTATTTAGTTAGGGGAAGATTTGTGTGAAAGTACGGGACTGTTATTGGCATTACATTTTCTTTTTATACTATTTTGTACATAAAATAATATTGCAACGTCACCAATGGCTTATCGACATCATTGTAAAATATTAGTCGATATTATTTATCGGTTTATAACAAGGTAAATATAATTTTTTGGGACTTTTGTCAAGTATTCTTTGTTTTAAGTTGTCCTAATTTCTGTAATTACTACATCGCACTCTTTCACAATTGTCAAAACTCCAACTCGTGGATTTCGCCATTATGAAGTTGAACCTCATCGTGGTCGTGATGTCATGCTTGCTATTTTTGGATTCTTATCACGTTTAGCTAGCCGAAAGGGCTACTGATTTAAGGAAGACATTCTTAAATTATTTCTTCTAAATATTGGAATAGTAAAGTCACAAAAAACAATGTTGGATATGATTCAAGGACTAGTAAACTAAGATAAATACTGTTGAATGTTTTCCTCCATTTCCGCTGGTCTGTTGTCCATGCTATTCACTTCTGGGCCGCATCAGCCAGTTTCCTAAAAAAAAGGGGGGGGGGGGGGGAACACTCCCCTGCCCACACACACATTATGCATTACTAGCCATGTAGAATAAATTAACTCTTGTAATTAAATGGAATTTCAATTATAATGAACATCATTTGTGATATTCCTCATAGTCCTGTTTAGTCTGATGACTACATTGTAACTGCCCATTCACCTCCGAATATTCAGCATCATGGGACACACTTTACTGGGCTATCCTACAAATAACGGCCACATCTTATGGTGGCTAAACACAACACCATGACAGCCTCAGAATGGCGGCCAAAAACAGGGTCTGTCACATGTAATTGCTGACTTTCGGCGACTATACTGCCACCGCAGTCTTTCATGCCGCAACGCTCCGCATAGATTGAAGCTAAACTAGATGGCTGGGACTTAACGAACGAGCAGAGCTGCAGGAGATGCAGAAGTTGAGTCGCATCCATTTAGTTCAGCCCCAATCCTCGCTGCACGTAGCGTCGTGGAGGTGGTCGACGGAAGTCCGCAATTTACATATGGCTGAGGCCCTGTTAGGGTGTTTTTGTGGCTGCCATAATATGTGGCCATTATTCAGGGGATGTCGGCTCTGTGGCTAAAGTTGATGGGAACCCTTTGGGATGCCGGGTTCGATCCTAGCTGTGGGCCAGGCCCCTTGCGTTATCAAGAAAGCCGACCGTCCAGAAAGAAATGGCAAACTACTGGACAAAAATCTCCCTAGAAACCACCCAACAGCCAGGGGCTGTTATGGTTGGTTTTGCAACGCCCTGTAAAGGATACGCAACTTACCTTTTCGGAGGATAGCCCGGCCTGTCACATGTAAATTGCGGTCTTTCAGCAACTTAATAATTGTGCACTACCGGTGACTATACCGCCACCGCTGACCATATATCCTGAGGCGCTGAGCTAAACTAGATGGCTTGGGACTCAAGAGCAGCAGCTTTTTTTAAAGCATTATATTGAGTGATGTAAAAAAAAATGTACACAACTGAAAACATGACATCCATCAGAAGGAAACCATGCAGGGGCAGTACAGTAAAGTGTTTATGAATGTTCCATATCAAAGGTATTGACTGTTGTATATACTTTTTGTATAACATTTTTTTGTTTATTTTCCTAAACCTAAAAGTCACCTTGATGTATCTATCAGATGTCAGTCTTAATTTTAGGAGGGAATTTTTCACCTTTGTGCATGCATATTTTCCTAGACATGCAGAGCTTTTCTGTGGGTCATCATTGTGAAGGCAATACCAGTTTCCAAATGCTGGTCTTCACTTGTTTGTCCATTTATAATTCAAGCGCATTAGTAGTTTTCACTGCCAAATATTTTGGAATGGTAATTTGTAAGTGCTGGTCATTTAGATTTCTTGTTCTTACCATGTTACACTTTGATCTTTACTTGTATCTTGTTTCCATAAACTTCTTAGTGATCACTGTCGCTTGTTCTTGTAGGATCTCCATTGCACATTTGTATTTGGTCAGGTCAAATTGTCATTGTGCTTACAAATTACTGCAAGAATTATTTTTTAAAAATATTTTTTAATAATTTTAGTAAATGCCACTTTACATGCTTGCAATTCTTGGTTTCTGTTTCATTTCAAAGGTGAACTTTACGGTAGATGAGATTAGGTCCATCATGGACAATAAACGGAACATCCGAAACATGTCCGTCATTGCCCACGTCGATCACGGAAAGTCAACACTGACTGACTCCTTGGTCAGTAAGGCTGGAATCATTGCCTCCGCTAAAGCTGGAGAAACACGCTTTACAGATACAAGGAAGGATGAGCAGGAAAGATGTATCACCATTAAATCCACGTAAGTAGTTTTCTCTGTGTGTGAGTTTTGCAGCAGGAGATACTTTTAATGTAAAATTTTGATGAGCATATTTTTTTCGGCTCTCCTTGCACCTTTGGACGCAGCAAGCTGGACGGCTAAGGTCGGCTTAGTGGGAGTTCTCTCCCTTGACTGCATTGCAAACAAGGCGCGGAAAGGTCACGAATCAACAAGACAGTGAGGTCGACATCAGGGCTGCCAATGCTTGGTTGTCTCCCAGATCTGTGTTTTTCTTTTGACGCTGCAGGGAAATCTGAGGTTTTTTGTGTGAGAGTGTTTTTCTGATCTGTATGCTTTAATGACCGATAAATTTGCGTGGTTAGGGGTAGGGTTAGTGTTAGCGTTAGATGTGACAATTGTGACGCCGTAGTTCCCTATAATCGCGCAGCCACATACACACGCAAACAGTCGACGGATGGTGGATGCTACTGATTGGGCACCAGCCGCGCGCTATTGCCGTCATTTTTGGCACACTTTCAGTGGCGCCACTTCCACAAGCATGAGATTGTCGCCCGAGTATTTGGAAGTTCTACGTCACCATTTTCACATCTAACCCTATCCCTTACCCCAACCCCAACCGCAACCCTACACGCAGCCGTATGATGATAGAACCTTACGCAGCCCTACACGCAACCGTATGATGACTATGCAACCCTACACGCACCCGGATGATGACAGGTATGTCATTTGATCCGTGACTTTCCCCGCACGTTTTTTTCAATGCGGCCAAGGGAGAGAACTTGACCTAAGCCGTCCAGCTTGCGTCCAAAGGGCAAGGAGAGCCTTTTTTTCCAAACCAGCCCATTTTCCTTTTTAAATTGTGCTTCCAGCATTCTTAAGGAGTGTTTTGTTATTGTGTACTATATTTTCACTTAATATTTCTATTGTATATTTCCATATATTGTTTTTTCTAAAGCAGGTTGCATGTTTTTATTTTAGTGCCATTTCTCTGTACTACGAGCTGGCAGCTGAAGACATGAAGTACATTAAGCAGGAGTATGATCCTGAAAACTGCCACTTTTTGATCAACCTGATTGATTCACCTGGCCACGTGGATTTCTCCTCTGAGGTGACAGCAGCTCTGCGTGTAACTGATGGTGCTCTAGTTGTTGTGGATTGTGTTTCTGGTATGTATTTTCTGCTGTTGCTGTTTAAAATGACATTTAGCAGCATGGTTGTATTATCTACATGATTCAAAGGACCAGTGAAATTAGTGCAGTGTTAAATACATTATTTTTTATAGAACATGGTTTTGTCAGAATTAGCCAGTAGTTAGAGCACACTGCATGGGAACAGCACGCTACCATCTAAGAGGCCAAACGAGGAAGAAATGTGAAGTTACAAAGACAACAGAAAGTGTCTCAACGCAAGCTGTGTAAGACAGTGAAAATACATCTGATGCTGTACGCTTTATAAGCGGTCACACAAAAGGACTCTAAGGATAAATGGTTTAGTTCCTCACAGCTGATGCCCTTGCTTCAATTTGTTGCATGGTCATGTATAATTAAGGTTAGTTGCGTATCCTTGCAGAACCAACCCTAACAGCCCCTGGCTGTTGTGTGGTTTTTCTAGGCAAATTCATGTTTAGTAGTTTGCCATTGCTTTCTGGACGGTTGGCTTTCTCGATACCATTGTCGAAACCAAAGCAAGGTCTATGGCCTGCAGCTGGGATCGAACCCGGCATTATAAAGCATTCGCATCGGATTAGCCACAGAGCCATCTATAATTACCAAGGCCAAATTCTAGCTCAAAAGGGCTTAGCTTCAGTTATTTTTTTTTAGTAAAGTGCCATCTGAAAATCTATTAGGGTGTTTCCTAGTTGTTGGCTCTGCTGTTATATGATTAAAGGATTAAACATTTACAGGTGTTTAGGTCATATGCCCATAAACAGAAAGCATGTGTTAAATATCATTCTAGGTGTGTGTGTGCAGACTGAAACTGTACTTCGTCAAGCTATCAGTGAAAGGATTCGCCCAGTTCTGTTCATGAACAAAATGGACTTGGCTCTGCTCACTTTGCAGCTTGAGATGGAAGACTTGTACCAGACCTTCCAGCGCATCATTGAAAATGTCAACGTAATTGTTGGTACATACTGTGAGGATGAAGGCCCCATGGGAGACATTCAGGTAAATGTTTTAAGGATTCCTTCGTCTCTTTGGTAGTGACATTGAATACTTCAATTAAAGAACCACAACAAATTAAGGGTATTAGGAAATTTGATAGCTGCAAGTTCTTTAAAACGCTGCTTGAGTTTGCCCACCCCTTCCTCAGAACTTGAATGTAATGTATAAACGGTCAGTATAATTTAGCAGAAGGTTGCACTCGTCACCAAAAAAAAAAACCTGGTCTTTGTTCAGTTCACCAACCTCATGCACTCATATCCAAGGAGTCACTACTATGTGACCATTTTTACGTTGGTTGGCCCCTGGTACCATGCATTCTATTTTTTCATGAGACACGATGCTGTTTATAAGCAAATCCACCTTAATGTTGAGAAATGTTTTTTGTATAATTTTGTAACTTTCTATATAGCATTACAAGCCCTAAGCTTTAATTATGGGCAGTACATGAACATCATTTTAGAGACTGAAATAGCTGTTGCCCTGTCATTTATCTTGAACACATGTAATTTATTTATATAGCCTTGTTTCCTGAAGCTGATCAACTTTATTTATTTATTATAGGTGGATCCTAAGGTCGGTACTGTTGGATTTGGATCAGGCCTTCATGGCTGGGCTTTCACCTTGAAAGATTTTGCCAAGCTGTACTCTAGCAAGTTTAAGATTGAGGAGACCCAGCTGATGAAGAGACTTTGGGGCAACCAGTTCTACAATGTCAAGGATAAGAAGTGGTCCAAGGAGGAGACTGCTGGGTGTGTCAGAGGTTTTACCAATTACATTCTGAAGCCCATCTATGAGGTGAGAGAACCATTTACGCTCTGGTCTAGCTACTGTCCTGTATACACATTTAAGACATAGTGCATCAATGATTTTAAAAAGTATTTACCTGGTATTAAGCATGCAGTTTAATGTTCTTTGATCATGATGACCAATCTTTTTTCCCCATCTGATCGACAAGTGAAGCCAGTAAGCTTTTGAAAAGCCATTGTTGACTGAATCAAAGAACTTCATTTAGAATGCACAAGCCAGTATCTCATACAAGGAGTTAGTTTTTGATGCACATCTTATATGCAGGTTTCCCTAAGCATATATTTAGTAAATCTGTCCACTTCTGATCAGGAATCAAATATATTGCATTGTTTTTTTCCCTGAGTTCATCATGTTTTCTAAGCTGTTTTTATAACAATTCTAGTACTCTAACCTAATTATTCTTGATGTATGTCATTTGATGTTTACCTAATATGCATTTTTTTTTCTTAGGCTTACAGCAAAATTACATGATTCATATTTTTGTCTAATGATGTAATGTATACATTTGTTAGTGCAAGTTCTGTTCTAGAAGGCTTATGGTAATTTTCTTTTTTCTAAATAAAGGCATATTCTTTGATCATGATGACCAATCTTTTTTCCCCATCTGATCGAGAAATGAGGCCAACTAGCTTTTCTAAAGCCATTGTTGACTGAATCAAAGAACTTAATTTTAGAATGCAAAAGCCAGTATCTCCTACAAGGAAAGTGAGTGTTTTTAATGCTAATAGTCATGCAGTGCAGCACATATGTGGGTTTCTGTGGGGCATATATTTAGTAAATCTGTCCCAATTTTGATCAGGTACCAAATAGATATGTTTCTTTCCAGAGTTATCCTGTTTACTGTATTTCTGAAGCTGTTTTCATAACAAATTCTAGTTATTTTTGTGGTGTTTTTTTTTGTACGATGTTTTCTTTCCTTACTCACAGCAAAATGTATATAAAGGTTATGAAATATAGCCCTGTTAAATTAGCAGTTTAGATTGAGCATCTTAATTCTTTTTTTTTTAATGCCATTTTTGTTTAATCGTGTAATAATTGTTTGGTGCTTTTCTGTAAAGGTGGGTTCTTTGATTATGATGACCAATCTTTTTTCCCCATCTGATCGAGAAATGAGGCCAACCAGCTTTCATAAAGCCATTGTTGACTGAATCAAAGAACTTCATCATTTTAGAATGCATAAGCCAGTGTCAGCTACATAGAAAGTGATTGTTTTTGATGACTAATAGTCATACAATGCAGCACATCTCATATGCCGGTTTTTCTGGGGCATATATTTAGTGAATCTGTCCAGATCAAGTACCAAATATATTGCAATGTTTCTTCCCTGAGATTGTTCTGTTTACTGTGTTTCTGAAGTTGTTTTTATAATAAATTTTAGTAGTTTTGTTGTATTTCTTATGATGTTTATGAGCAAAAATATGCTACTTTCCCCCAGTAAGCTTACAGCAATATGTATATAATAGAATTAAGTTAATTAGCAGTTTAGATTAAGCATCTTTTTTAATACCATTGTTGTCTTCTTCATCTTCTTCAGCGATCTCTGGTCATGCGCATAATCCACTGTGGGTCATAAACTGGGATGTCTTTTCAAGGTCTCTTAGGTTTCCCCAAAGCTTAGTTGTCAGTTCTACTGGGTGTTGCCATATGTCGCTCCGCAGCTCCGCCAGGAGAGGACAGTCTTGCAGGACATGTTCTGGAGTCTGTTCAGCACGAAGACACTGGCAGAGAGCTGTTTGGCTCATACCTAATTTATATGAGTGTTTATTGAGTCTGCAGTGTCCGGTGCGTAAGCGCCATTGTTGTCTAAGGATGCAATATACACAATTGTTACATATTCTTTTAATGATTTGCTTTTTTGTAAAGGTGGGTTCTTTGATCATGATGACCAATCTTTTTTCCCCATCTGATCGAGAAATGAGGCCAACTAGCTTTTATAAAGCCATTGTTGACTGAATCAAAGAACATTTAGAATGCATAAGCTAGAGTTCATATTGAGTTCGTCCCATTTACTGTTAGTTTTCTTAGCCATGTTTCTAAAACAGTATTTCTAGTTAAAGCTAACTGTATTTCTGAAGCTGTTTTCATAACAAATTCTAGTTATTTTTGTGGTGTTTTTTTTAACCATGTTTCCGTGTAAAAATATGCTACCTTCTTTCCTTAATCACAGCAAAATGTATATAAGGGTTAAGAAATATAGCCCTGTTAAATTAGCAGTTTAGATTGAGCATCTTAATTCTTTTTTTTTTTTTTTTTGGATACCATTTTTGTTTAATCTTGTAATAATTGTTTGGTGCTTTTCTGTAAAGGTGGGTTCTTTGATTATGATGACCAATCTTTTTTCCCCATCTGATCGAGAAATGAGGCCAACCAGCTTTCATAAAGCCATTGTTGACTGAATCAAAGAACTTCATCATTTTAGAATGCATAAGCCAGTGTCAGCTACATAGAAAGTGATTGTTTTTGATGACTAATAGTCATACAATGCAGCACATCTCATATGCCGGTTTTTCTGGGGCATATATTTAGTGAATCTGTCCCGATCAGGTACCAAATATATTGCAATGTTTCTTCCCTGAGATTGTCCTGTTTACTGTGTTTCTGAAGTTGTTTTTATAATAAATTTTAGTAGTTTTGTTGTATTTCTTATGATGTTTATGAGCGAAAATATGCTACTTTTTCCCCAGTAAGCTTACAGCAAAATGTATGATAGAATTAAGTTAATTAGCAGTTTAGATTAAGCATCTTAATTCTTTTTTTAATACCATTGTTGTCTAAGGATGCAATATACACAATTGTTACATTTTCTTTTAATGATTTGCTTTTTTTTTTTTTTGGTAAAGGTGTGTTCTTTGATTATGATGACCAATCTTTTTTCCCCATCTGATCGAGAAATGAGGCCAACTAGCTTTTATAAAGCCATTGTTGACTGAATCAAAGAACTTGCAATTTAATATATTAAACTAATGCCTGCATCACCTTGTATTTCAAGACATTCTCCTGTTGGGTGTTTATTTTCTTAACTTTAGTTTGACATAATTGCATTATGCCCATTCAGAGTATAGCTATGTCTGCTCTTTTTGACAAAGCACATCCAATTTGTCTGGACCAGCTTTCTGTTGAACGAAAAATGTATAAAGTAGACATGCAGTCAAATGTTTGATCAGATATGTTGGTTATACACAGAATTCAATATGGTGTGGATTTGTGATGTATATTTACTCCTTTTTTTTCTTTCTTTTTAGAGAAATGAAACATTTTAAATCTAATTTAGGGGATTTCGGGAAGGCATGTTCTTTGATCATGATGACCATACTTTTTTCCCCTTCTGATCGAAAACTGAGGCCAGCTAGCTTGTTTAAAAGCCATTGTTGACTGAATCAAAGAATTTGCAGTTATCGCCTTTATTTCTAGGATGTATCAGCATGTGCGAAATTGTATTTTAAATGGATGTAGCGGATGCAAGTTTTTAATTTTTTTTTTAATGCATATAGTTATAAATGAACACAAATATTAGCTGTTAAAAGAACAGTGGATATTTCAACACACATGATCAAACAAGTCAATGTTCTTTTGATTATGAAAAAGCTTGTTTTCCCAACTGATCAGAAGATAGTCAGCTAGCTTTTCTGAAGCTATTGACTGAATCAGTGAATAGCTGACACGTGTAGTCAGTCATATTAGCCAGTATACAACTCATTGTTACATTGGTATCTACAAAAGTTTAAAATTTTATTTTTGTGGCACTAGTACTATTTATCACACATGGTGTGATATGCAGGGTTTATATGCACATAATAATTGTAACCCATTTTTTTTTCTTAGATCTTCAGTCACTGCATGACTAAGACCAAGGAGGAAGCTGTTGCACTTGTGGAGAAACTTGGTGTGAAACTGACTCATGAGGATAAAGAGCTGGAGGGAAAGCCTTTATTGAAGGTATTGATTTTCTTAATAGTATTAGTGCATTAGGAAGATGCTGGTGAGTGTTTGCAACATAGTACCAAGGGCAGAGGGTGCCCTAAAAACTCCACAGTAACTTAGTGTGCATCCTAGCCTAACTACCTACTATAATGCCTTGCGGTGCAATGCCAAAATAAAAAGCTGCTATTAGCCAGCAGCTAGAGCGTACCAGAGACCATTACAAAAGTTGACAAAATGAGTTGGATAAAAAATTTAAAGAAGCATTGAAGTTTTCTGATTGTAATCTTAACATTTTGCTTGCTTGTTTGGACTTGTAGACTGTAATGAGGAAGTGGCTGCCAGCTGGTGATGCCATGTTGCAGATGATTGTGATCCACTTGCCCTCACCTGTCACTGCTCAAAGATACAGAGCTGAGTTGCTGTATGAAGGACCCCTTGATGATGAATGCTGTACTGGTACGTTCCACAAATTTTTGTGTAGTTTATGGTGACCATATTTTGCCCCTGTCATATTGATGAAACAGCTGATTGTCATGCTATTGTTGAGTAAATCAAAGAACTTGCCTTGTTTGGTGAATTTAATTGCCTGTATAATTTTTCAGAATTAAAAAAATTGACAATGCATTGGTTTATTTTTCAGCTGTCAAGAACTGTGATCCTAAAGGTCCACTCATGATGTACATTTCCAAGATGGTGCCAACCACTGACAAGGGCCGCTTTTATGCATTTGGTCGTGTTTTCTCTGGAATTGTATCCACAGGACAGAAAGTCAGGATTATGGGACCCAACTACCTGCCAGGAAAGAAGGAAGACTTGTATGAAAAAACCATCCAAAGGTGAGCTTCAAAGATGCTTCAGCATCCTAATTATGGCTGGTCAAGCAGTATACTTGTAGATAGACCATTTTTTTCAATGGACATTCGCTCATCAAAGGTCCTTTAAAGTGTCTGGATTATCCTAAATAGTTCCTTTTTGCGTTGGTTTTGACGGTGACGCTAAGAGCTGACCTTTCAGAAGCAAACCCAGATCAAATGGATGCACACGCAGTCAGGTTTGGAAGAGGTTTGCAGTCTAAAGGTGAACGAACAACCAGAACTTTCCGCCAGAGTTTACAGCTGGTGAGAGCCAAGAAGAAGAAGCAAACTATTGAATATTAAATTTGCCTAGAAAAACCATAATGGCCAAAAATATGTTGAGGTTAGTTATGCTAACTTGTTAAAAAGCATACGTTTACCTCCTTGGTCTTGACAAATTTTTTTCCCTATCATAACGGTACATGGTGAAACATTGCTGCTTATCAAGCCATTGTTCATTGAATCAAGGAATAGTTATGCCATATATTGTGTGTAGATGCTATATATTGTATGCAGTGTTTGTATTTTCTCATGTGTGTACTTCTTTCACAGAACAATCCTCATGATGGGTCGTTACACTGAGTCAATTGAAGATGTCCCATGCGGCAACATTTGTGGTCTTGTTGGTGTTGATCAATTCCTCGTCAAGACAGGAACCATCTCCACCCACAAGGATGCTCACAACATGCGTGTCATGAAGTTCAGTGTCAGCCCCGTTGTGCGTGTTGCAGTTGAGTGCAAGAACCCAGCTGAGCTGCCCAAGCTTGTGGAAGGTCTGAAGCGATTGGCAAAATCTGATCCTATGGTCCAGGTATGTACAGAAAGGTGTTTTTAATGGCGATTTTTGATTGTTCTGTAAACTTTATTATTTGGATTCATTTAGAATCAGTGCATTAGTAGTTTAGGCTTTTTCATAGTGGCGGTACCTATCACTCTGATTGAAAGGAACCCTTGGTTTTCAGATATCTGCTTTCAAAAAAGTAATTGAGCCATGAAAAAGAATTTATATAAAATGTGTTCAAAGATTAAAACTGCATGAATTCACATGTTAAGCCTTTTTCTTGTGCAGTGTATCATTGAGGAGTCTGGAGAACACATCATTGCTGGAGCTGGTGAACTTCACTTGGAAATCTGCTTGAAGGACTTGGAAGAGGATCATGCTGGCATTCCCATTAAGGTTTCCGAACCTGTTGTGTCATACAGAGAGACTGTCAGTGCAGAATCTGACATCATGTGTTTGGCCAAGTCTCCCAACAAACACAATCGTCTCTTCATGAGAGCTGCACCGCTTCCTGATGGACTCGCTGAAGCCATTGACAAGGTAACCTTTGCCTTATGTGTATTGAAATGTTTAAATATAAACTTGATAAATATCAGTATTTCATCCTTGATGAAATAAGCGCACTTTAAACTTATGCAAATCTCTTTGATCATGATGACTTATTTTTTTCCCCGTCTTATCGAAATATGAGGCAAAATCAGCTTTATAAAGCCAATATTGTCTGAATCAAAGAGAATTTTGTCGCTTCTGCAAACACGTTATAGAATTCTAACAAAATACAGTCTATCCTGTTTTATATTAACCCTCTTAGCACGGATGGGCCGATTACCAGCCGACGGATGTCTGGCCAAAAACACGGAATGGCCCATCATCGGCCCGATCGTGTTTCGCCTCGAACCGCTAAGAAATCTATTCTGAAACACTGCAAGTGATTCATTTATATTCACTGCTGTGTTAGCTTTACACATGGCCACTTTCTAGTGTTTGGTATCGAAGTGAAAATTGTTGAATTTTTAGATAGTGACCTGAACAGCTAAAAGTATGCTTGACTCGTATGTTTCTGCCTCTAAACTTGATGTTGATAAAACATTTAAATGTGATAACACTTATTCTGTTGATACTGATGCAGGATCTAGTGTTAGTAGTAATAGTGGGGAATCAGATGGGGACGCTGTTGTGTTCAGACCACAGCCCAACCATGGCTCTGGGTATATCCACCCGAAGGTGTCACTCCGGCACCTCCATTTCTTGTGCTGACTTCTTCTTCTTCTTCTTCTTCTTCTCTTCCACCTTGTACCTCATCGAAGTGTCGGGGGGAGATGTAATGTTCGTTGATGAGCTCTGTCAAGAGCACTATTAAGACTGATGTTCATTTCTGTAAGGCTGTTCTTAATGCCATCACTCCATCTTTTCCGAGGTCTTCCACTCGCTTTATACCCGTTGTAACGTTTTAGTGTGGCTCGCTGTGGCAGATAGTACCAGGGCATTCTTGTTAGGTGTCCAAACCATTTCATTTGTTGTTCTTTGATGACCTGTAAGACTGGCTTTATTCCTAGCATTCGTCTGATTTCATGATTTTGTATTCTGTCTTTCCTTGAAACTCCTGCAGCTCTTCTAAGGCATTTCATCTCTGTTGTCACAATTTTTACGTTCATTGGAGGATGTAAGTGTCCACGTTTGGCACTGATAGCATAGTATTGGCCAAAAAATAGTTCTGATAAGATTCACTTTAGTACTCTGAGGTATCTGCTTGTGTGTCAACAGGGGAGATAGTTGGCCCATTACTTGATTAGCTTTGGCACATCTGGAGCTAATTTCTCTGTCCAGTTTTCCGTCTGAAGTAAAAATTGCTCCCAAATACTTAAATTCCTCTGTTTGTCTCAGGGTGTTGTTTTTTAATTTAATTTCTAAATTGTCTTTATGTCTTCCTATCATCATTGTCTCTGTCTTCGTAGTGTTTATTTTCATATTATATTCCTCCCCTTTGTTACTAATTTGATTTAGGTGGTTCTGTAGGCATTCCATATTTTCTGCTATTAGTACCTGGTCGTCGGCGAAAAGTAATTCTGTTATATCTTCTTCCTGATTAAAGTCTGTTTCGCTACATATGGCGTCCATGTATGTTATGAAAAGAAGGGGCGATAGTACACAGCCCTGACGCACACCAGAGTTCACTATAAAAGTTCTAGACAACCCTGCCTTTGATCTTATGCAGCATTCACTACGTGTGTACAGGCTTTTGCAAATATTAATGAGATGATTGCTGATTCCTTTTTTCCCCATACATTCCCACAACATATTCCTGTCGACTCTATCGAAGGCTTTTTCTTGGTCTATGAATGTCAACAAACATGTCTTATCATGTTCTATTGCCCTCTCTGATAGTTGTCTCAATGTATAAATGGCATCTGTGCAACTTCTGTTTCGTCGAAAGCCCATCTGTGCTTCTGAAAGTTGATACTCTATCAATGGTCTCAGCCTTTTTTCGATGATCTTAGCATACATTTTCCCAGTGTGACTGAGAAGTGATATTCCTCTGTAATTAGTACATTCCCTCTTACTTCCTTTATTTTTCCACAGCGGGACAATGACAGCAGTTTGCCAATCTGATGGTGTTTCTTGATTTTCCCATGCCACCTGAAATATTCTCTTTAACCATATTGCTCCCGTTTCTCCTGCTGCCTTGATGGCCTCAGCTGGTAGATCATCAATACCTGTCGCCTTTAGTCTAGGCGCGGTTCGAATGGCATATTTTACCTCATCCAATAATATACCTGGTTCTAGTTCCTCTGCTGTTAGTTCCGAGTTGTTTTTATGTTCTTGTGCTGACTGATGGTCAAAAACACGTCACCTAAAGATATTATTGCTGTTTAATATATATATATATATATATATATATATATATATATATATATATATATACACACACACCTGTTTTTTACTGTTGAATTGCTTACAACATTTGTAAGAAGGCCAAAGATCAATAAAAAGATTTCAAATAAAATATATTTTTGTTTTTAGTTATGTTTCATGCATTGAAGTTGAAAATTCATTCTAATTTTCTATTTTTAGATATGTAGATGAGAATTTGCATATACAATTATTAATTTTAACGATATTGTGTGAAAATCACGAACTTCAATCTATATCCTTCAAATAGATATATTATTTCATGGGGGTCAGAATAACAGAAATGTGTCCAAAAAATTAGTTATAACCAAATTTACTGAAAAAAGGCTCTGTGCTAAATGGGTTAAATGTTACACATGTTCAGATTTAATGTAAATTTGATTTTAAAAAGACATTTAAACATTGTTTATGTTTCAGGGTGACATTGCCCCAAGACAAGAAGTGAAAGAACGTGCCCGTATCTTGAGCGACAAGTACGAGTTCGATGTCACAGAAGCAAGAAAGATTTGGTGCTTCGGCCCTGAGGGAACTGGACCTAATCTGTTGGTTGACTGCACAAAGGCCGTCCAGTACTTGAATGAGATCAAGGACAGCGTTGTTGCTGGCTTCCAGTGGGCATCTAAAGAGGTTGGTATTCATTGCAGTCTAAGCTCATACGGTGTGTTTCAACATGCCTAGGTTATCATTGATAAACCTAACTAGTCATTAGAGTTGTATTTTAATTCCATAATTTTTTTAGTGGTTTTTATTATTAAAAAAAAAAAAATTTGTCCTGTCACCTGTTATGGATTAGTAATGATCTGAGAAATGAGGGTACTGTTTTTCGTCAGCATTCCGAGCCCTTAAGGTTCATTGATGCAATCTCCCGCCTCCACTCATCTCTCTAGTTGGCCCTCTTTCCAGTTGTTAACACACCAAGCATTTGCAGGGCTCTCTGAATATTATCTCCGTGGTCTTCTTGGTCTGCCTCGTAGTCTACGACCATTCATCTCCCTAGTGTATACAGGTTTTTACTTGCCATTTGACATTCTTTCAGTGTGCCACAACCATTTGTCTATTAGCTCTTATGATATCAGTGATGATTAAAACATGAATTTTGTTGTCATCGCTGTCTTTAATGGGTCCGAAGATTCGTCCTTACTGTTTTCTCAAAAACCTGTAATAAGGCTTCATCTCTTTTAGTTGTGCTCTTAAGTTTCAGAGCTGTATAGCACGACTGGTCTTATCAATCGTTTTATATATTTTGATCTTGAGACACCTTGACGTGTGCAGATCTGGTTAATCTCCATCCATTGTTTGAATTGGTTTGTAGGCTTTTAATGCCTGCTACATTTGTATAGGTGTTTTCTCTTTTTATTTTTTTTGCATTGAAGTCTAATACAGTCAGTGTCTCATTTTTGAGCTTTATCTATGATATTGTTAAAGGATATTCTTAGATCATACACATTTTATGTAAAATCTTCAGTGTCACATTAATCGTGATATATTTTTTTCATTTTATTCGTAACTTTGTTTTGTTTCCTCCATGCACTATGATCATAACATTTTCCTTTATGGTACCCTGTCCTGGCCATCTTATTTCTTGAATTTTCTGTTATATCCATTCTGTATTTACATTCATGGGTCAGTTCTTTAGCTGCTCCAGCTCTATAAAGGGTTCGTACATTCCATGTTCCAAATCTCACCATTTAGTTCCAGGTCCATTGTCTGTTTGAATCCATCTGAAATCGGCTCAGATATGTTATCATGGCGAGATGGTTTTACCAAGGTGGGGGTTGTCAGCCCCACACATCAAAACCACCAACATGAACTAGGATGTTTCTTTGTCTGTTCTCTACCCTTTGACCTTTCAGGCTTTGGATGCGCTTCTGCTAGCTACTGCCGGCATAGCTCTCGGGATAATTGAGAGAAACAAGCTCCCCCACCTCGGCAAGGTGGAGACACGATGGGGGGAGAGGGAGTACTGTTTAGTTTTATAGAAATGTTTTCTATATGCTCCTATTTTAGAATAGTTTGAACAGTTTGAATCTTTTGTGTTTAGGGAGTACTGTGTGAAGAGAACATGCGTGGAACACGCTTCAATGTGTACGATGTGACTCTGCATGCTGATGCTATTCACCGTGGTGGTGGTCAGATTATCCCAACAGCCAGGCGAGTCATTTATGCTGCTGCACTCACTGCCCAGCCCCGCCTCATGGAACCAGTGTACCTGGTTGAGATTCAGGTAACTTAGATCATTTAAACTGGGTTTAGAACTTACAAGCCTTTCATTTATTTTAGAGCTGTTAAGTCGCGCTGTCATGGAAGAGAGACCTGTGTTGTGGTCCCTGATGGCGAGCAAAAAAAAATATTCAAAAACCTGCACGGTGGTGTAAATAGCGAAAGGGTCGACACTTTTGACCAATTCGCAGATCTGTGAATTTGACATGTATGCTGCCTTACTTGTTTTTATTTTCCAAAATGGCGGCACCCACAATTGATATCCGACACTTGTTGTTTTTAGTGACATTTTAATTTTTATTACTAGTGCATATTCAGCCTTTTTTTCCTATGTCTGATGAAAACCAGACCGGTATAGTATGTAGATCATTCGCAATTTAGCTCTAAAATCGATAGTTCTAAGATACACCAGTGAATGTTAACATCTTATGGTAACTGAAAGTAACAACTTGCTGAAGTTGCTGTAGGTACATTTGAACAAAGAAGTGGGCGTGGCAAGAGACCAGAAGCTGAAAATGTTGTTTGTAAATGCAGAAAGGCTGCTAAGAATGAATTAAGTTTGGCAATCTCCATCCATACAAAAAAGGTGCCATGTCAGGCACAGTTGGTTTTTTGTGTGCAATTATTTAAAGGCATGTTGGCGGTTGCCTGTCATGACACTAAGAGAGCATTATATCTATTGTTAACTTTAGTGGTGTTATAGACAATATTTAGGAAAAGTTGAATTCTTGAGAGCTGAAAAAATTCCAATTCTTGTAGAAAAAAAATAGTAATAAAGTCAGTTTTGGCAAAAAAAAAAAAATACAGGGGGAGGGGTGGTTTCTCTGACCAGCTGGGTGCAAACCACCCCTTCCCACCTATAATTGGTAGTCAAGGATGTCAATTTGTTGTTAAACCTGCTGATCTTCGGCAGTGTAACACCTTCAAGACAACAAAGTGAAAAAAATTGGCCAGTTTGAATAATGGAAAGACAAGCAATGGTAATTTCAAAGAAAAGAATTTTTCCTAAATGTGTAAAGCAATACGAAAGATTACTCCAGTTGAAACTCCAGTTAATGGAGGATGTATAGCTCAGACGTCAAGGTGCTTTTGATAGGCACGACAAACACAAAAATTTACTTTTTGTTTGTTTTTCATTTTAAAACATTTGGCCAAATATTTAAAGTTTAACATTTTTGCATCTTTTTCAATGTGTAGCAACCATCTTTAATGATGCTCTAAAGGTTTCAAAAGCCAATGCTCATTTTAGTAGAACGATTTTGAAGAAAACAAACACCTTTGATAAGGGGAAACAGGAATGCCCTGGATTGCTTGTCAGGAAAGTTAATTCAGTTTAAAGACCACACAATTTTGTATAGTTTTAGTTTGTAATAGTCATTGTGGAAGTATCAATCTAGGGTTGAAAGATTTGACGCCAGACATCCATTTAACACTAACTTATAATACATACCACCAGTTGGCATTGTGCATTAATTTGTGTAATTTGGGTCCTGTTTCAGTGTCCTGATCAAGCTGTTGGTGGTATTTTTGGAGTCCTGAATAGACGTCGTGGTGTTGTATTTGACAACCAGCAGATTGGAAACACACCACAGATCACTGTCAAAGCCCATATGCCTGTCAATGAATCTTTCGGTATGTATATTTACATAACTTTTTTGGGGACAATTACTGCTTTATAGATTCAAGTAGAAAAATGAACTGAGATTAAATGTAGTCCAGTGGCCGCTGCCATTTTAACTTAGTACTAATTCTTCAACTAAGTACCTTTTCAACGTGTGTACTGAGATATTTGAGAAAACCAGTCAATGTAATAAGACCATAAAAGCAATGAAGATATCATTATCACAACACAACCATAACAGTGCCTAACATTCTTACCATACACATCAGCAAAGAATTCCAGTTCTGTTCACTCCAGTTGCACTTTGATTGAATGCCCTTGTACACTTTTCAAGTACAGAGTATCAACCAGGTCACTACCGCTGCACTATTCTCTCCATGTGGTAAATAAGATTGAAGTCCATTTAGTAGGCATGCTTTCTAGCAATTGTTTTAATTTCCACAGGCTTTACTGCTGATCTCCGCTCTAACACTGGAGGACAGGCTTTCCCACAGTGCGTGTTTGACCACTGGCAGATCATGCCCGGTGACCCCATGGATCCAACATCCAAGCCTGGACAGATTGTTGCAGACTCCCGTAAGAGGAAAGGTCTGAAAGAGGGTATCCCACCACTTGACAACTTCCTGGACAAAATGTAACAACCCTGACTGTACTTGCTTAGCTGTTCTTTTGTTCTGTCATAACGCCCATGGTATTTTGTGGTTCTGGTTTATGGTAAATGGTGAATAGTGATGACATGTTTAGCAGAAATGGGAAAATATTGCTATATGCTGAAAAGTGATTTTGTTCAACCTAATCTTCAGTAAAGTTTATCACATTGGTTTAGAGAACCAGTTTTCTTTAGATTTGGCAAATGAAGGTACTCTCTGTAAACTGAAAGGTAAATCCTAACGGATGACATAACTTGACAATAAATCTTAAAAAAAAACATTTTAAATTGTTCTTTACTTTTGTGTGTGTGTAACTTTAAAAAGACACTTTCTTCGCTGAAATACTTGTATATGGCATACAAATTGTCACTGCAATTTTTCCTATGTATTTTTTGATGTTAAGAATGCCACCAAGCCAAATGCTTAAATTTTCTGTTAACCCCTGTAAGGGCAGTTGCTTACAGCTATGCTGGGATATCTAAGACCCCCTAACTATCTTCAATGACCTGCTACAAAGATGGTTTCATTCTCTTCTCTAACACAAACGGGGCCCTGGAATTAACACGGAGGTTATCTTTGAAGACTAGGATGAAACAATCATAACATGTAGAGCAATTTAAACATAGAATTTGTTGGTTAAACCAGCACGGGTTTGAAGTTTCACTACTGTTTGTTACTTAAGCAGTTGTCAAGAAATGTAAAATAAAAAGGAAGTACTACTTGTGTTCATTGTCAGTTGGTTTTTCTAAATATCTGACCTATAGTTAGATTTTAAAGCACCCGTTATTAACAGCTCTGGAGTATTTCACGGATCTGTGTCCGATTCATGATCAATTTTTTAAATATATATAGGGCGACGTCTTTTAGTAATAATATAATTTCTGGTACATTCGAGTCGAGGCTTGGACTATATTTGCAGGGTTTCGAGTTTTTGGAGGAATCACAAGGTGGGAAAATAAAGTAAAATTTTATTATGGCTAAGATAAAAAATGTAATCTATGAAGCAAAGCATTGAATATAGAGGCAACATTTATCTATGATCTGGCAACTTTTCATAGCCGCTTGATAAGCAAACAACAAAGCCGCCATTTTGTTAGCCTAGTAAAATGTGCAGTCACCTAATCATCACAGAGCAAAAAAAGCTACCATTAAATTGTTTAAAAATCAGAAAAAGCGCCACTGAAAGTTGGAAATAATGCAACAAGTTTATGGGGATAATTATCTTGTGCACAAATTTTCATATGGCATTCACAATTTTAAATTAGTGTGGAAATTTTTTCTTGATTTTCGCTGCGGCACTTAGTTTAAGAACCTCCGCTGTAATGCCTCAGTCGAGTCAACAGACAGACCTTGCCAGCTGCTGTACCATGCAACCAGGTTGCAGTTGCCCCCGCTACGACAGACTTAGGCAACAGCAACTGTTGTGATAATTAATTCATCGCAGTGTATACAAAACGGGTGTAATGTAACCACTATTTGGGCGAATACTGAATATAGTTACTAGGCCCTGAAACGAATTTTTTTTTTGGTAGTTTATGGTGACCATATTTTGCCCCTCGTGTTGATAAAACTGAGCTGATTGTCAAGCTATTGTTGACTGAATCAAAGAACCTGCTTTTTGTTGGTACAGCTCTAGTTTGTACCACATTCGCTGTCTGATGACCAAAAACATCAGCGGGTTGAGTACCCAAGAGATGTCCAAACAAGAATTTTTGGCCCAAAAAGTGTTCTCAGCCTTCCCTGGATTTGTCTCCCTGTGATTTTCTTTTTCTATTCCCAAAATTTAAGTTCTGTTTGAAAGGACACTTCTTTAACGATGTTGATGACATCCAAAGCGCAGTAACAATAGAACTACAGAGGTCGTTTTAGTGTTTGTTAGATCGTGCCACTTGCTGTATCAGTTCACATGGGGCTTACTTTAAATCATACAGGTTATATCTTCAACTGTTGATTATTTTAATTTTTATGGAATTCAGTAATCAGTACTCAATTGTCGGACCTTGTATTTCATCAAATGTCTGAACATAATAATTGGTTAAAATTCTACTTTTTCAATATAAGCCAAAGAAAGAACATCCTGACTTTACACGTAAAATGGTAGTGGTTGGTCAACTTCACGCCAACCACCATTTCCTGGCCGTTACATGGCACCTGTTAAACGCTAGGTTGACATGGGAGCCAAGTTAATTAAAGAAAATGAAGTCTGAACCCAAGACCTTCGGATCCACAGACGAGCTGAATCCCACTTTCCATGCATCCCTCCAATATAAACAAGCCAAAGCCTCGTTCGTTCACACGGCGACAAGTGAAAACACATGTGCTTACTAGTAACCCCGCCGACATTTCTGACCCATAATCTAAGGAAAACATGACTTGCTGAGGGGCAAGAAACTCGAGACAGTCTAAGTAAGTAAAGAACAACATGTAAGTAGACATCATAACAAGACTAGAATATGTGCGTGTGCATTATCTGCTGCCTCTTCGCGTTTACTGGCTGTAAGGCGGAATGTTCTGCTCGTCCACTTCTGGATTCTAATCTTGTTCTAGAACCTGAGTGTGTGCACATCTATTTCACAGGTCTGACTCATTTGCATGCAGATTGTTGGTCGTTGCCTCTCAGGCAGATGCACTCCGACTTCAAAGGAAGCTCCCATTTAGTCGATTCTTATGAAATGCTTTTTGTAAGACAATGGGTCTAATCTGGTTTTTCCCCGGAACCCACTATAGGAGCATGTGCATTGTGCTTTTTTTACTTCTTTGGTCTGTTTACCTCCCAGCTGAGCATAGCCCTTAACCAAATCTCTCTTAGTCATCCACTATTTTCTGCTCATCCACTATTTTCTGCTCATCTGTAATTCTTTTTTTGGTTCACCTTTATTCCTTTTACCTCGTGGGGCCTCGTTTCAGTACATTCTAGCCATATCTTTGAAAAATGGGGGAGATCCCAAAATGCAGAGGTGAGTTTGGGCGGTCATAAGCAGTAAGCGACTATTCCTTTGGACGACCCATGTGTCTCGCCTCCGCTCTCTAGTTAGAGGAAAGGCATTATGATTTATCTATTTGTTGAAACAGTGGAAAATCTTAGAAACTACACAAGAAGGCTGAGTCCTGTAAAGTATTCGACAGAATTAGAATTTGTCTGTCGGCGAGAGATGCAAATACCACATAGTCTGCTTTATCATTCAGACAACAGTACTGGTAGCGAGTTGGCATCTGTGGCTCGTACGTGTTTCATAAATCCGAGGTGCCGGGTTCGATCCCATCTGCGGACGATGTGACAGCAGAGCCACTTGCGTTGTTTTTGACAGTGGTATAGAAGACGACCGTTCGTTCACTGACAAACTACTGAATGTAAAATTTCCGATTCAAATCATTTAAAGCGACAAAACATACAAATGCAACCATTAAAGGATACACAACTAACTTTAATGGGGGGGGGGGGGGGGGGCTGGAGAACACTGAGGGCCTAGCCCCAGGGCATGTTGCGTTAGCAGCTCCTAACAATTATCGCTGGGTCCAGAAATCGATATTAGGGTAGGTAACATTAGTGAACAGACTAATAGGTTGGTTGCGTAACTTTAACAGGAAGTTGCAGAACCAACCCCAGCAGCCCCTTGCTTTTTTGTGTTTTCTCTAGGCAAATTTACGTTTAGTAGTTTGTCATTGCTTGCCTGGACGGTCGGCCCCTGCAACGCAAGGCGTATGGCCTACAGCTGGGATCGAACCCGGCACCCTGCGTTACGAAGCGTTCGCATCGACTTAGTCCCAGAGCTGACGAACAGACTAATAGATTAAAAAAAAAAAAAAAGAGTTGGTGAGAACAGATAGCGTGTGAAAGTCCCACTTTATAGTAAACGTGGGTTCTTAGCTCTCTTTCCTGCGGTAGAGATGAGGTTCGCTCAAATATCTGTGCCAGAAACGGCTAAATAAATAGCTTTGACGTACAATTTTGTGTACTTGGTCTCCAGGGTAAGTCGTCGTGGTGTAGCGTCAAGAATCTTGCCTGCGGATCCGAAAAGGTCATGCATTCAGGTCCCGACGGATCCGAACTTTTCCCCCCTTCATCAGTTGCCTAGGCTCTTAAGTCTACCCAGCTTTAAATATGTGCCAAGTACACTCCTAGGAAGTAAAGGCGGTCGGCATGATGTCAACCACAGAACCCGCCGATTCGTCTATAAAATAAAGGTATAGTCCTATATTCCATACGCTTGAAGGCGCGGAAAGGGGTCTTTTACTTGGCACACAGGGCAACACACAATCACAAACTGTGGGTATTTAAAGAGGTGGGCAGATTTCTTAACATTTTCTCCTATAGAATCTCTTCACCATGAACAACAAGCAGCTGTTAGAGTAGTTGGTGAAATATCGGACTGGTTTGAAGTACAGAGAGGAGTAAAACATGGTTGTATTCTCGCTTCATCCCTTTTTAAAATATATGCAGACAATATTATGAGAAATATAATTAGTGACGAGGACCGTGATAGCTTCGATCCGCTGAAAATTGGAGGTAGACCTATCCGAGAACTAAAAAAGGCAGAAGACACAGTTCTCGTTTCTAACTGCGTACAATGCTTAGAAAAAATAATTTACACTGTCAAAAAGTACAGCGAAGAGGAAAACATATTTTTCAAAGAGGGGAAAACTAAAATAATGTCCACACTGAGAACAACACACATTTATATATATTTAAATCGACAACCGAAGAGATTAAAAGTATCACATATTTTTTTTAATATTTAGGCTCAGTAATAAATAAGAACGGCAACTGCGCAAAAGAAGTCAGAGAACCTATGTCATAACACTTGCAAGCAAGCAGAAGTAAAAAAAAAATGTGAGATTATGCATCTTTCCTGCGGCACTTTCTGGATGTGAATTACTGACTCTCACTCAGTCTGTTTTGATGTTACCATGGCTAGTAGTGTTATGCATTCTACGTCCCGTCCTTTTTAGGATGAATTTTTTTGTTATTTGAAGCCCTACTCTGGCTT